GTAATACTTAAACGATCCATTTTTTTAAGAAGTCTTTTTTCCAAAAAAGTAAATTTCTGTCAATATATTATAGTTTAGTTTCTCAAAAATTAAATTTTTTCAAAGTAATTTTTTATCAAAAATGTTAATCTTTAAAAAAAAAATAACTTTTGGTACGGGAGTTATAGCAATTTGCCTAAGTCACCATGCCATGCACCCCACTAGTTTTTTTAATTATTGCTTCTTTAAAGTAAATAATTCATATTTATAACCAATAGTAAAATATTGCTCTGAAATACTATTACAGGTATTTGTCGATCGGGTAATACAATCAAGACCTGCTATGAAGTTGAACTAATGAATTTATTATTACAATGAATTTTACTTACATTTTTTTATTTTTCGTCTAGGTTCTCAGAACATGTTCTCTAGAAAAGGATTTAAAGTCGTTTCCGCTGAAAGACCTGACTATCGTCGGAGAACGCGGCGCCTCTTTGTCTGGCGGGCAGCGCGCTCGCGTCAGTTTGGCCCGAGCTGCTTACAGGCGCGCCGACATTTATCTACTTGATGACCCTTTGTCTGCCGTGGACGCACATGTTGGCCGATATTTGTTCGATAAATGCATCGGTAATAATGGATTGCTATCTAGGTAATTTTTAAATTTTATTACGAATATTTGTTTACTAATAAATTTTATATATAGCGTCTTTAGCATAAAAACAAATCATTTAGAGAAGCAGCACCTAGTCTTTATTTAATTTACTATAATACATATTAATGGAAAATTTTATTTAAAATAAATCATAAAAGTCTTTACAAAATTAGTAACCAATAAGACAATAATTGAGATTTATTTGCATTTGTAGAACTGTTTATTTATTCAACAATAAGCCATCACCATATTATAAAAGACTAGCAAACCCGACGAACTCCGTTTCGCCACCATATGGTTTCGTGACAAAGATGAAGAAATTTTTTGTTTGTTTTATATTTGAAAAGGAAAAATTTGATTTTATTCAACAACAGAATCCGCAAATTATCCGTTTCATGAAAGTGATTTGTAAACCACATTTTTTGTTTTGTGGTCTGACTTTAACACAAACAAAGCGGATGGTTTTCCTACTCGTGAACAGGCAACGTATAACTGCACATGTGAAAAACAATGATTTTCTAAATAATCTATTGAAATTTATCCCGCAAACACTAAGCGATTGGTCTTGCGACTTGTTATTGCGAACGCAAGGCGAACTGGAAATTGCAATCGTTTGAAGTCAAACGGAAGACCAGTCGGAATCATTGGTATATCACCAAATCGCCAGCAATTTTTGATTGAATGGTGAAATTCAGTGCGTGTACATCATTATTCTTTGCGAAAAGAATTGCTCGTTGACTTAACCAAGCATAATTTTGATAATTCTCACTAATGCCATTACTCGAATTTTTAATTACGGTGCGTGAAGTTCCAGCAATTTCCATTTTCTGGAGTTATTTCGTCAGGAAGGAAAACCCGACTTATTTTTATTATAGAAGATAATCTATTTGAAATTATTTAAAACAGTTATTGATTATTTTTATTACTCGAATTTTTAATTATGGTGCGTGAAGTTCCAGCAATTTGCATTAGGGCACGATGCTATGCACCACTATTTTTCTTAGCTATAAACCTTGCGGAGCCCGAGACCTTTCCAACGAATGCAAAATTGTCGAAAAAATCCTTAAAAACTCGCTCACGTGATTAATGGACGCCCCTTAGATTCATAAAATTGGCGTTACTGAAATAATACACTCTGTTAATACTTTGCGCTTCACAATTTAAAAAGATTTTATTTTAATTTTTACGTTATATTAGAATATCTAAACTTTTTTTTCAAATAATAATATGTGCACTGTAAAAATATTTATTTTTTATAATATATTATTTAATTATCTCTTTTTACTCTAAGAACGCAAAGCAAATTATAATTATATTACATGAATGATTTATTTAAATAAGCCTATAATAGTTAAATAAAATGTATTATTAAACAAATTAATAATAATTACAGTTCTACAAGAATATTGGTGACACATCAATTGCACTTTTTGTCTGAAGCCGATTGGATTATAATACTTAATAATGTGAGTATTTGGCAAACAAATTATAAAACATGTTGCATCATATTTTTTCACTATTTCTTAGGGTCGGATACAAAACCAAGGAACTTATGCTGATCTTGTGAACAGCAATGTTAATTTCGCATCTCTTTTGTCACAACCAGAAGTTTCTGAATACGAAGATAAAAAGTCAATAGATTTTACGTCTGTGGATTCACCAGTTTTGAAACGAAGGATGTCATCGCAATTGCGTCGTACTGTAAGTATAATATGATTATTATTTATTATCATGTATTGTTTTAACATAAAATATTAAACACGTGCTTTACTTTAACATCAAATTGATATAATTTCATTTATGAATAATTAAATAAATATACTTAAGACATAAAATCATGTGGGAATGATTATACTAGTTCTGCATTTGGATGCAAATGATGGCAAAAAAGTTCTTCATAACGTAATTTTCTACTTTGTTTTTTCATTATTTTTTTATTTTTTTATTTTCTATTTTTGTTATTTAATTTCTATTTTGTAGTCTACTGCAGCTGTTGAAGATGTTTCAGGACCACCAGACCCAGAAGATTTAGAAGAGCATCAAGGTCAAGGAACAATGTCGTTCAAAGTTTTCTTCTGGTATTTAGTTGCTGGATCAAATAAATGTGGACTATTAGGCCTCATCTTCATTTTTGTCCTAGCTCAACTTTTTGCCATGGTTACTGATTATTGGTCTAGTTTTTGGTATGCTAGCATCATATAAAACACTATGAAAATATCTGTATAATTAGATTTTCAAACAAAAACTTCTTTCAATGCATAATTTTTAGGACAAAGCAGGAGGATCTAATAAAAAAATATGAAAACAAAGAAAGTGCAGAATCACCATTGCTTACCACATACCAGTCGCTGTATATTTATTCAGGACTTATAGTTGGACTCATTTTGGTAATTATTTTCAAAAATTTAAACTAATTATGTACATACATTTACCTTGCAACATTTTTCTCTGCAGACTATTCATATAAAAATTTACTTCTATTTATTGAACTGTAAAAGATCAACCCAGAAACTTCATGATAAAATGTTCGGAAAATTATTAGAAGCTGTAACACGCTTCTTTGATATCAATCCTACAGGGAGAATTTTAAATAGATTTTCAAAAGATATGGGTATTATAGATGAATATTTGCCAAAATCCTTGATGAATGCATTACAAGTAAGTTATTAATTTATTTAGATAAATGTTATTAAGGAATATATTATTGAATTGAATTGTTTCAGTTAATACTCTCTTCTGCGTGTACAGCAATAATAATATCGATGACAAATTATTATCTTTTAATACCAATAATAGTAATGTTTTCTGTCTTTTGTGGATTATTTATAATATACTTGAGAACTGGACAAGATATGAGAAGAATTGAAGGGATATGTAAGTAAAAGAATTACGTTTACTATATTTGCATGTTATACTTATTTATTATATGATGTATCGTTTCTTATAGGTCGCAGTCCAGTTTATTCTTATTTGTCTTCAACTTACGCTGGATTGGATACGATCCGTTCACGTGAAGCAACGACCCGAGTTTCTTCGGAATTTGATGGTCTTTTAGATGTGCATTCCGCGCAATGGCATCATCTAGTTGTGGCTGCTCAGACCCTAGGATTCTGGTTGGAAATGGCCAGCGTGGTCTTTTCGACTATTGTTTGTTTCAGTTTTGTTTTGATGGAAGATTGGAGTAAGTTGTAAATGATATTTGTTCCATCAGTTATTTGTCTTCGGAAGACAAGACTTTTAAATGAAAATTGTGATAGAATTTTTTTCTGCTCGATTTGTTGATGCAAATTGGCTTATTTAAAATGTTTAAAAAAAGTGAAAAAATAGTAATATTATTTTTATAGTTGGCTTGACATTTGCGGGCCAAGTCGGATTGGCCGTAACGCAAGCAATGGCTCTTACATCAGTACTTCAATACGGTGTTCGGATGTTAACAGACGTTATAAACGATATGTTAAGCGTAGAAAGAGTTTTGGAATATACAGATTTAGAACAAGAACCAAAGCCTGGTACTTTATACTTTATTTATTTACTATAATAATATTGAAATTTGTATAAATACTGAATCTTTAATATTTTAAATGAACAGGTAAATTACCTCCGGATACTTGGCCTCCTAATGGAAGAATAGAATTTCGTGATATGTCTCTGAAGTATATAAAATATTCCAAGCCAGTGTTGAGAGATTTAACTTTAGTAGTAGAATCAGGATGGAAGGTATATAGACCTGAATTATTATAAAAAAGTTAAAATAATGAGTGGTATATTTATATGTTATATATGTATGTACATACTGTGTGTGTATACTCATTTCTATGTTCATGAATGTGTGTGTTCATATATACACATATGTGTGTATGTATGTGTTCATATATACAGATATGCTGTGTGTATTTATGTATGTGTGTAAAAAAGGACCCCTCCACGTCATTTTTTTTTCAAAAATTACGTAATTATTATGAAATATTTTCGTAATCCATATTACGTAATCCACATTACTTAAAATAGGCGAAATTATGACACATATCTTACATTAATCTTACGTAAAAATGACATAAGTATGTAATTTTTTTGCGTAAAAATTACATAAATTTTACGTATTTTGGCTTAGTGGGTTTGTGCCTAAAGATTTTGTTTATTTATTAATATAGTATATATTTTACTTTATTTAATTAATATAAACTTTAACATAAATCTATTCCTTATACTTAGATCGGTGTAGTAGGACGAACTGGTGCAGGAAAATCATCTCTGATCGCTGCTCTTTTCCGACTTGCGCCGTTAGAAGGCTCAATTATTATCGATGGTTTGGAAACTGGACGAATAAATCTAGATGCTCTACGTTCAAAACTATCCATAATACCCCAAGATCCAGTTCTATTTAATGGGACTTTAAGATATAATTTAGATCCATTTGGGAAATACGATGACAGCGAAATGTGGCATGCGTTAGACCTTGTACATAAAAATTTATTCATCAAATTTACAAGCATGGATGTAACCAGATTGTAATCGATTTTATAATTAACATATGAGTAATATATTATTTTCGGTATTGCTTTTTAAAAGTCAATTTATTCAAGTCCTTTTGGTTACATCTCTTGTGAACAGAATAAAAAATGTTATTTATATGTAATGTTGAATTATTATTTCAGGTTGATATGAAAAATTCAGTGAATTCTTTGGATGTCTCAGTTTCCGAAGGAGGTAATAATTTTAGCGTCGGTCAAAAGCAATTGATATGCCTTGCAAGAGCCATTTTGAGACGTAACAAAATACTTATTCTTGACGAGGCTACTGCTAATGTAGATCCACAGTGAGTTGGTTATTTAATATTATTTCTTTTATGAAACGCTCTTAATGATCATAGTGATAAATCTCATTATAATTATAATGTTATAATTCTAGTCTATTCTAGTCTATTTATGCCTTTGATAATTGATTCAGTCAAATACAATTGGATCATTAAAAAATTGGATTTTTTTATATCTTCATAGATATACATCTATATAAAATAATATTTGAAATAATACATTAACAAGCATTATTAAACTCGTATTGTCAACTTATACTAGCAAAAATTATTTCCACTAACAATTATATATTTTCCACTGAACCTTCAAATAGAGGTTTTACCCTGTAGTATATTTAATATCTAACTCGATAAATAAATAATTTAAAATTCTTTATTCCTGCAGGACTGATGCTTTAATACAAAAATCTATACGCACACAATTTTCAAAATGCACCGTACTGACAATTGCTCATCGCCTGCATACTGTAATGGACTCTGATCGTATCCTGGTTATGGATGCAGGAAGGCCCAGAGAATTTGGCACACCATATGATTTATTAATGTTGCCAGGAAGTATGTTGGCATCCCTTGTTTCTGAAACTGGACAAGCGGATAAACTGCTTGATATAGCAAAACAAGCATTTGTCAATTCTGGTTATGAAATTGCTCCAAATGGTTCTGCAATGAAGGAAACCAATGGCGAGATTGTACTGGAAGTAGAGTATAGGCCAAATGGTCATATGACTATATGCAATAAACCTTGTAATGGCTTTTCAAATGAAGCATTTGTAGAAGATATTGATACTAAATTGTGATATAGGTATAAATATAATAACAAAATATAAAATTATTATAGTTTTATTTATCAAAATCATTGTTCATTGTTATTTTAAAATTTTAAATTATTTAAAAATTTATTCGTTGTAAAATGTTGGTACTTAAGCCCAACAGCTCACTTGTGTCAACACAGTTCAGAGCAGTGAATTTCATACGACGAAGTTCATAGCGCATTTATGGCAACACTATCGGTATGACAAATGAACGGTATGTAAACAAATAAATCTGTTAAAAGTTACAATAGAGTTTTACACAAAATTCACACAAATGTTGACGAAGAATGAAAGATTTTTTTAATGTGCTTGTTTATGCAAAAATGCAATAATATAACGCGATATGGAAACTAAGGTGCGTAGATAGTACTTCATATATGGAATAAATATAATAATAATATAGACTCATAATAATAATTTGTAGCGATAATTCAAACTTTTGTATAATATGGACGAATTGAAAAAGGCTGAACTGCAAAAAAGACGCAAACAAAGGATATTACAGGTAAAATTTCTAATTAGAGAATGCATTTCTATTAGTTTATTTTGTAATGCTAGTAACAACTATTACTTGAAGGTACGGGAACAGTCAAAAGTTATTGCTTCAGAATTGCGTGACAAAGTCAATTCTGAAAAGAAACGAAAAGCAGAAGAATTTGCCAAAATAAAATGCAAGGAGTTGAGAGAATGGCAGGAACAACAATTAAGAGATATGAAAAACCAGTGCTCTAAAAATTATTGTGATCTTGGTAATGCTCATAAAGCAGCTGAAGCTGAAGTTGATCCACGAGAAGGTAATTGTCAATTTATACCACAAGAGACAATTGTTCCACTCTTATTATATCTTCATTTCTGTATTCACAAGTAAAAGACTTTGCTTAGAATATTTATGTTTGCAGTTTTGAAGGATAATAAAACAAAACGAGATAATATTGCTCAAGCAAGAGGAAAGGAAGCTATGAAAAATTTGAAAGAAGAAATAATACAAAAACATTGCAAACAGAAAACAAAACAGAAAACTTTCAGGTATTTATGATATCAATATTATGACTACTAATTTGTTTATTAATATCAAGTTTATTTATTACTTATTTTGTTATCCTTTTCAGATCTGTTCCTACCTCAAATGTACCCAAAATAAAAATCACACATATTATTAAAAAAGTTAAGAAATCTGCAATAAAAGATGACTGTGTTTGTTATGATGATCCAGAAGTTGAATTGGGCACAATAAATCTTGATAAAAATGCTTCTGATCCTGTTGAAAACTCATTGTTGAAAACAGATGATGATCACAATGGACATTATACAAATTCCATATCTAACAAAAATGGAGAAAAAGTTTCACATACTCCTTACTTATCTGAATTGAGACACAATGGTTGGTTTTGTCAATGTTGCAAAATGCAACGAGATGTTGGTATTCAATGTTTATGTCCTAAAACATCATATGAGGATGATGATAAAGAAACATCATCAGATGCAATCTCTCTTGATAAAGACGGTTCTGAAGCAAATAATTATTTCACACAAGTCAGTGATAGAATAAAATCTAGAAAAATCATTGATGTTCCAAGCTTAAAAGTAAAATCATCTGTATATAATCCTCAGAACTTTTCAGATAATGTTTTACACAGAAACGACTCTGATCTTTCAGATGATTTTTGTGATAAAATTAGACAACCAAATCCAAGACGACAAAATATAATTAGCAGTCCAAATAAAGGATGCAGAGAAAAAAGTCCTATTGCAAAAAAAATAAATATAAGCCATGGAGATTCAAGTCCAATTAGAAATCAACATGATATAAATCCTCAAGTTAGAAAACATACAGATATTGGTTCACCTAAAAAGCAAAGGGGCGTAAATCCAGAATCTGAAGAATATAGAGCTATAAGTCCTTTAACTGCAATATCAGCAAAAATTCATGATGGCATAATATGTGCTAAAAATTGCTTGGAAGACATTGAACCACAGGTTTTGGAATTGCAGAAAAATGTACAAAGCCTAGAAAAATCTTTTTCAGAAAAGCCTGTGATACCAATTTCTCCAATAAAATCTGTTAAACACACCAATTCCAGAATCAGTTCAACCACAGCAGATTTGCCAAAAGTGAAATTATATGATTGCAGCACAAAATATGAAGCAACATATAGGCCATCTTCAAATCCGGTAGAGAAAGTTGATTCACACTTTTCAAATGCTCATGATGTTGCACAAAAGGAGAGTGAAAACTTTGATAAGGTGAGGCATGGTTTATTATGTCAAGCAATAAAATAATTCATCTTATTTTAAGAAAATAATTGTTAATTAAGGAAAGAACAATATGGTCACTTATCTGTTTTCTTGGATTTAATATGACACTGATCATCAATCAATTCAGTGATTGTTCAATATTTGCTTTATTTGTTGCAATAATAGTCATAAAATGGTAAATAATATACCATTTAATACAACTGTTATAAAGCAATTTATTGTGCATATAAGTTATAATAACATATTTTAACAAAGGATGAAAATATTACATATGCAATTTTCAAGAAAATTGTAATAGCAAGTGAATTGGGCAACTGATAATTTCTTAATTATTTTAAGGATTTTTTGTGTAATCTATGGTATGAAATCTTGCTTTACTAATCTATTGTACTTCTGGGCCAGTTTACTTCATCTTTCTGCCATGCACTGGACAAATTTTTACTTGGGGATCAACAGCTTTTTGTTGAGGCAAATTAACTGATTTTGTCGGTTGTTCTAGATCAGATTGTTTCTTTGCCATATTCTAAAAAGTAGTATAAAATTTTTTTGCTCAAAATATATTCATGTTCCAAAAATATTTCACTATTACTTGCAAAATAATTTCAAATCGTATACTACATATTACAAAGAATTACCTCACAAATTGATCTATTCGTGCATGGGCAGTACACATAAGTCATATCTTTAGGATCAGGGTGGGCCTTAGGGGATGAGAAAGTTGTTGCTGCCTGGCACTTCTTTTTCTTACTGTCTTGTTGACATCTGGCTTCAGCGGCTTTAACATGTCTTTGCCAAAATTCCATACGTGATGGATGCGGAGCACTCAGCTCTTTTGCTATTTCCCGAGTAATTCGCATAGGGAGTTGCCATGTGTTTAAATGATAGCCCCATGGATTGCACGCTGGTCGTTTTGCAACTATTAAATTGAATTTTGTTCAATAAATTGAAAATTAAATTTCTAATTCTGTGTTGTTTTCCATGAGAAACAATGTGATCATTCATTCTAATGTTAATGCAGAGATTAACACAGGACAATATCAGCAAGTAAATGTAAATTTCTACATAATAGTATTTTTAGTTAAATACTCATCTATTTTCTAATTGAATGATAAATTTTGTCAGTTATTATATACTTACAAGGCAGTTGATGTCCTCGATCATTTCCAATAATCCTTGTAGCTTTACATAATGTTGTCGGATGCTTTGGAAACCACTTAGGAGTTTGGTAATTGCCCAAATTATGCGGCTTAAAAGCCCCTTCATACTGATTGGCACTGAAATTGTAAGACATTTATTTTATATGTATAATTGGAAGTTTTAAAAATATCTCAAACAAATTTGTAAAACAAATCTCTAATATATTACTGAGTTGAAACAAATGATAAAATACTATGAGATATCAAAGTAGGTTTGTTGATTAATTAATATAAACCTCTTAATCAAATTATTGTTATCATAGGATTATTTGCTTCATCTACTTCTTGCATTAGTTAATTATAATTATATTGAAAATTACATTTTTACGACAAGGATAAACAAAGAGTAGTAGTTATCAAACTTTCAAATTTATAAAAAATGAAATGTTTTAATAACATTTATTATTATCAATTCTTTTATTAATATTTCCATATTCCTAATGTGATGTATTATTCATTTATGTATAGTTTAAAACAAAAAAAATATTTACTTATGTCGAACAAAAAGTTTCTAAGATGATAAATTATGTATGTTTTGTGCCATTGCTTTCAATTCTCTGATATTTATTTATAATTATAATCATTATAGGAAATCTCACAAAAGGCTCAGAAAAGAAGAGATGCTATGGCCAAATCAAAAATAAGAAGTCGTGAAGCTCTCAATCAAGCAAGAAATACGAAAAATTTAGAAAATATTAACAAATGTTTTGAATCATTGGCATTACTTGAAAGGGAAACTGATACTTGCCAGGTAATAATATTCAGGAAATTCATTTTTTAGTGTTTTAAGTTGTTTAGTTGTTTTAAGAAATCGAATCGGCTATTTTTTTTTGGCTTTCATTGAATGATCATAAATTTCTAATTTATGGTAGTTTCACTTTTTTAATGAATATTTTTAAAACAATCTTTTATATATAGTTATATAATCATTTTCTTGTACTTAAATCTTTACAAACTAGTTAATTTTGTAGTTTTAAAACAATTCTTATATTTTTAGAATCCAAGTTTATATAATCCTTTATCATATAAAGATATGAATAATCAAAGGCAAGAAAGGATTGATGAGGCTTTTAGTAATATGTTAGACAAAAGTAAAAAGGCTTCAAAAAATGTGATTACTTTAGATAGAGTTCGATCAAATAAATCCGTCGGAAGAAAAACCCCTGGAAACAATTTTACTAAGTCTTCCTCTTATTCGAAAGCTGGTATAGAGAAAAAACAATCTAGTCTCAATGTTGCAAATTTAGATAGAGATAGTATTTGCAATAAAAAGATTATTGATATTTGTTGTGGAGATGATAAAAGCTCTACAACAAGTAGTAGTATCATATTAGGAAATCTAGATCACAAAAATATAGAAAACCAAGACTTAAAGGAATTATTAGAGCGAGTAAAACGTCAGAAACAAATGCTTTTAGAAGAGGTCCCAAAAGAAAATTTACCACAGGACAGTAAACTTAATGATGTTCTAATCGCAATGGAAAAAAGTTTATCAGATCCCTTGGAAGAATCGCATAAAAAGACCGAAATTTCAAGTAAAATTGATGATGCTCAGAAAATCAAAAAACAAAAGAAAAAGCTTGCAAAAAAAGAGGAAGAATTAAAACTTAAAGAATTACAATTAGATCTGTTGATGCAAAAGTATAAACTAAATGAGTTAGAACAAAAAACAGAATCTGGCAAACATGAACACAAAGTTTCACAACCAGAAAATATTCCAATAGAAAGTTCTTCTGTGATCCCAATTGCAGATACAAAACATGAAATTCAAGGCGAGGTGATCGACAAACAGTCTTCAGATGGATTGGAAATTGTAATCCACGTGAAAGATAAATCCAATAAGAAAATCGCGCCGGTTACAAAAAAATTTTCAGTTCAAACAAGAGGGCCAAGTGTTATTCAGAAACACAAAAAATCCAAAACAAGAGTAAATAAAAGTAAGATATATTCACCTATGAAGAATTCCTCCTATTCCTGTTCTAGTAGTTCTACTAGTTATTTGAGCCCTCCTGCTGAATTAACTAATGTTTCAAATTTTCAAAATATTTCTCAAGCTTTTGTGAATGACTATACTAGCGAACAATTTCAGAGACAAACTAACAAAGAAAATTTCATTTCTGCTAAATCACCAACAAAATCAATTACTTCATCTAGATTTGATAGAACAGCTAGGAAAAAAGAAAAACCTAAGATAAATCCATTATTGGCAAGTTACATAAACAGGTTACTATTGATGGATAGGAATAGCATAGATGCGCTGACTGTCAGCTCTTGTTCAGATGTCCCAACGCCAAGTGATTCCATAATTAATATTCCATCCAATACAGTTGATGATAAGTTTAAAATAAACTCATTTGAAAAATCTGATATTGATACAACTCCAGTGATTAATATTGAGAGTACTCCAAGTAATTTTAACACAAAACGAAAACATGTTGAGTTGCGCAAAAGTGTGCAGGCAGTGGAAGAAACGCCGAAACATCTAATAACTTTGCACAATAAAGGAATTCAAGTATCCACAACACATAACAGTTCTTGTGAAGAATCTCCTTCACCAAGCTTTTTTAAATCAAACGAACAAAGTCCTGAAAGCTTAGATAAAAATGAAGGCATGCAAGATTTTACTGAAAATTGTAATAAACGAATAACTGATTTAACAAATCTTATTAATAAAGTTAGACTAGAAAAAATGAAGTTGCTGGAGTGCAGTATATCTTCTAGTGGCAGTTGTGGACAAAATTCAACTGAGTATCTAGAGTTACCCAGCCAAATTCAACCTGCTGAAATTGTAGATCGAGGTAATCGTGATGACATAAACAGAACTGCAGAGGGTTTGAAACATATCTCTCAAGAAACACCACCGCAGATGGAAATAACTGATGAATTAGTGACAGTGGAAACAATTGATTTTACTCCCATGTTACAAGATATTCCAAAACCATCTGCAATGCAAAATGTTATTGCTCATCAACCATTTGGAAATAATAATAAGAATATTGAACATGACTTGACTGATTTACGTCAAAATATGGTTGGTATTAATAGCCAGTTAGTCAATTTAGAGAATTATATGGAAAAAATTCATGAATATATTGGAGATGTTGTCAAACATAAGCCAAAACCTCCAGTATCATTGTTAAGGCAGATGAAGAACAATGTAAATATAGATACAGCACAAGCTCATGAATTATCTGCTATAATGGAAGTTGATACTAAAGTTTCCGAAACCGCTGTTGAAATAGAGGCTGTACAAGACTCAGTCCAAGATGTTGACATTGAACAAAATTCTAATTCTTTAAAAATGACTTTTCAAGGAAAATCTCAAACACAAGATAGTGGTGATTCTGTAACCTTTGGAAGCCAAATAAAAAATTTATTTGACAACACAGATATTAATATCACTTTAAAAAGTCCAAGTAAATTTCAAAACACATCTGCAGATATTAACTTAGAAGTTAAGCCATTTCCAACCTTTGAAGAATATTATAAAAAATTAAACTCTAAAAAGGATGTATTGGTAAACGATGCTGAAATATCTAGTGAAAAAAATGAAGAAACATTGCCGGATGTTATGTCAGAATTACTTAGGAGAAACATTTTACAAAGACCATTTGATAATGATACACAAAACTCAGATGTAACAACAACAGATCTGCAAGAAGCTTCACAATCACAAATAATTAGAACACCAGAAAATTCTAATGGCAGTGTAAGTTTATTAAGTAATAGTTCAATGGAAAATTCTACAAGTTCATCAACATCCCAAGAGTTTGAAAAAGCGTTACATAAGCTTGGTATGAACTGGGCTCTTAACACTTTAAAGAAAACACAAAAGTCGATAGCTCATAGTTCAAGTAGTTCCATTGAATATCCATCTTCAAAAACAAATTATTTGACAAATAAAATAATAGCATTGAAAAATCTTAACGAACAAACTTTAAAAGAATTAGAAAAATCACATAAGCCATTAGCTTCTAACATCACTGTTGAATCAAGTGTAACTGAAAGTGATGGAAAAATTAAAAAAGTTGCACAGAATACAGAATGTTATTATAATTATGATGGAAAATCACAAAAAGAAGACATCAAAGCTTTGGTTAAAAAAGCTCAAAATCTATCTCTTGATAAAGAATCACTTTTCAGAAGGCTTTTAAGTACCAGTAGAGATTTAAGTAATAATACAGATAATTTAACACGAAATCCATCTTCTCAAACTAATCAAAGGACATCTACACCTGTTTTTAACGAAAAAAAACTATCCAATAGCTCTAAAGCAAATTCGTTAAATGAGACATTATTCAGTGGAAGTAACATATCTTCTGTAAAAAGCAATTCTTCGGACAATACACATGACTTCAATCCAAAAAGAGGTTTTTAAAGACAGAGTTATATAAAATTTGTAGTAAAAATGATGTATTGTACAAAGATCTTTATTTATTTAAAATATTCATACTGTTTTTTATAATTTTGTCTACTTAGATCATAAATTTATTTATTATTAATTAATTTATAAACAAAAATATGTGAATGACATGCCTTATCATGTACCTAATTATTTTATCATAGTTAATTATTTATTTTTCTTTTACTTACTAGAAAAATTAATATAATATTTTAATAAATACAAAATACTAAAATTTGTTAGAATGCATTTGTTCATTGATGACATCATGTTAATCTTTGTTTATTGTTGCAGATGATAAATAAAATATTTTTTATATATATAATAATTATGTGTTTTATTTTAAATAAAAATGTTTTAATCAATTTGAAGAAATCGAATTTTAATTTGAAACTTCATATTTTATTATTAAAACAGAATAAATTTATATCATTTTATATACTCTCTTTTATCTATGATGCCTAACACAATATCAGATTAAAATAAAAAATATTTGATGTATCTTTATGCAAATATTTGTTTCGTAATAAAAATGTACTTATAGAAATGTTTGCTCCATGAAACAATAAGTATATAAAGATCTGTTTTAATTAAAATTTATAAAGTAAACCGCCAGCTGTATATAGACTTTCTATAGAAAGTATCATAATATATTTTATTGATTTAATGTATATATTTGTATATACATAGTTTGAACTTAAAGTACAGTATTTCACACAAAACCAAAGATGCATTATTTGAATTAAAATCTTTACAATTTTTCAGTATCATTTCCTATAAAGATTTGTGTGCTCTATTACAAATATCATCCAGCTATATGATCAGTGAAAAACAAATCATCAGAATCAAATAAAATTCTTAAGTCCGATATTTGATTACATCTATCAATGCAGGTGTTAGAAATGTTACATTCAAAATGTATTGGAACGCGCTTATGTGAAAACCTAATAAGAATCCCTCACCATAAGAGTTGGAAAGAATTCAGTTGAGATTGCAATAATAAGCAGTCATCAATAGAATTTATTTTGAGGTATAATTTAAGATCATCTGCAAACAATAAATAATTTAAGCTAAATAATTTCAGATATGTCATTAATAAAAATAATAAATAGTAGTGGACCAAGAATTGATCCCTGAGGATCACCTGAACTGACATTTTCGATATTGCTCACTAATCCATTAATAGAGATATTTAAGATTGTGAAGATAACTCTTAAAAAATGAATGAGTGAAGAATTAAGACCAATCTTAGATAATTTATAGTAAGAAGAATGTTATGCATAATGATATATATATCATGCAATTTATAATCATAACATTCTTCTTACTATAAATTATCTAAAATTGGTCTTATTTCTTCACTTATTTATTTTTTAAGAGTTATCTTCACAATCGCAAACAGTTTGTCTATATTAATGATGGATTATTGAGCAATATTGAAAATGTCAGTTTAGGTGTTCCTCAGGGATCAATTATTGGTCTACTACTAATGAAAATTGCAATTTTGTCAAAAGCTATACTGAAGTCAGTGTAAATAACATCTTGTCCCTTAGTGTCAAGATTCTCAGCAATAAATTGTTTAATACAGATTATAATCTGTAGATCTATAGATATGCAATTGTAGTTTTATTTCATTCAGAAATAATTTCAACCAAAAATATAAATATTACACCACCAAAAATAAATGAATCAACATTTCTTCTACATTTCATCTTTACATATTTATATTATTTACTTAAGCAAATAAACGAATTAATGTTTATCAAACTAACAATTCTATGGTAAACATTAATTCGTTATTTTAAATAAATATTATTATAATAACTGTGATTGAAATCATTTGCTCTACGCTGCGATCTATTGGCAAATCAAAATTTTTCTAACTTCTTGTTATTATTATAATCGGTGTCATAAATAGATTTTGACATTGCGGTCGGTGTGTTAGTCAACCTTTTTCTTTAATTTTACTGTAAGTACTAGAAAAAAATGTTTTAGTACAAGGATCTATTTTTAATTAGATTCGGCCTAGATTCTTTCGTTTTCTATTAGAACATTTCGTATGTAACATTATAACCTTGAAACTGGGTGTGTACTTACCAATTATAGGCACATCTTGAACCTCACGTAGCTGTTTTTAGTTTTGTATCCTCATAAATAATCAATTATGGGTTTGAAAGAATGTCAAATCCTGCTCGATAACCCTTGGAATACATATTATGCCGGCCAGACTATCAACGGAAGGGTTGAGATAACTTTTGATACTCCAAAAAAAGTTAGAGGTGGGAAATTTATCTTGTTAGATCAAACAATCATAATATTAATGTTATTTCTTTTTAGGTATTCATATAGTCTTTAAAGGTGAAGCGCACACGTCATGGATGGAATCAGAGACAAAGACTGACAATCAGGGACAATCACAGACTGAAGACACGAGCCTTTCGGGTCACGAAGAGTATTTTCAGATACAATATTATTTACTAGGAGGCAAAAATGGTTTGAATCAAGTTATATTTATATTAATTTTAGTACACAATTGATGAAAATAGATTATAATATTATTTTAACTTAATTTTAAATTGAATCTCTTCTTTGGTCATCTTTATCTCTTCCGGAAGCCCATTGAATAATTTTATAGCACTCCATATTGTGTTCCACCTGGTTTTATTTTTTTTTGTTTGTTTTAGATGATAAATTTTCTGTTGTCTAGTATTGTGCTCATGTATTTCCTTATTTATAGTTATCGATGTGCATGTTTTGATTTTTCTATGTTATGTTATGTATTAGTTTGCACTTCATCAATTCCTTAATTATATAATTATTTCCTTAACTTTGTTATTTGATTATAGATAAGCACATATTATTAATTCAATGCTGTAATATGATCCTATGAAACATCTTTTCACTTTATCAAGGGGGTGAAATTGAATTACCTGCTGGAACGCATACTTATCCATTCACCTGTGCGCTTCCTCCTTCATTGCCATCTAGTTTTGAAGGTGAATGGGGATATGTTCGATACACAGTTAAAGTCACTTTAGATCGACCATGGAAATTTGATCAGGATACAAAAATGGCATTTACTGTTATTTCGGCAATAGATTTAAATCTTGATCCTAGAGTAAAGGTATTATTTTTCATTTACTTTTATATAGTAATAATTGAGAATGATGCCATCAATAATTATTTGATGTTGAAACACAGCTATTTCTTTTAAAATTGTTTTAGGAACCAGTGAAGTTGGAACTTGAGAAAACATTCTGTTGCTGCTGGTGTAAATCAGGTCCGCTTAGTGTAATTGTTGGTATACCTGTAACTGGTTATGTTTCTGGTCAAGAAATACCAATCAGTGCAGAATGTGACAATAATAGCAATGTTGCTGTAACATCTTTAAAATTCACATTACGCAAGGTAAGATATCAATTTTAATTGGAATGATCTCACATAACGATGTTTTCTTATATTTTTTGTGTATTTAAATGTGATAACAATATTCTATTTTTGCAGAATGTAAAATTTCACACGCAAATGCCAAGAAGAGCTACTAAAGAAGACAGTATAGTAATTGCTGAATTGCAAGTGGGACCAATTGAACCTGGTAAATCTGCAAACTGGAATCAGAAAATGACAATTCCACCATTACCACCCAGCAATTTAGTAAACTGTGGGATTATTGATTTAGATTATGATTTAAAGGTACTTTTAAAAAACTTCACTCTAAATATCTTTTTCTTATAAGCTTTTATCCTTAAACCTTATCAGAAATATAAATCTAATAAGATTTATTTATACTTACTCTAGGTACGACTTTGATTATTTAAATAAAATATTTTTAAGACAAATTCAAATATTATATTAATGAAGAATTTCTCATTATAATATTGTACCATTTCACACCTCTGATATGATTTATTGGCAAATATTTCACAATTATAAGCATATATAAAAGCAACTAAGCTTTATAACAAGGATGAGCAACCCGCGGCCCGCGGGCCGCATGCGGCCCGCCGGATGTTTTACTGCGGCCCGCCAAGCATTTCTCAACAACAGATTATTTTTTCAATTCAACAATAGATATTTTATCAAATACGGCTGTAAAGGCTAATTTTGTCGTCAGTCAAATTCTGGTAAAAACTGTTGTTCGAAGAAACAAGAGCATTTTCTGATAAAATAAATATTATTGATAAAATAAATATTATTGATAAAATAAATATTAATTAATTTATTGATTTATATAAATATTAACAAGCTTCAATATTGCAAGAAAAGTTGAGAACTTGTCCGAGAACATAGCAACAACGCATTTCTAAATTCAAAATAATTAAAAAAGTGAATCTTATAAAATCGCGAGGGTTAAATCATCGTAAATTTAAAAACTTCCTGGCAATTTAGATCATGAATATGTCGATTTCAAATACTAAAATACGTTAGCTCAATAATATTATGCTTAAAGGAGTATACGACTCAAATGGCGAATTACAATTGTTTTTGGATATGAAATAATAATTATAGTCCTTTAGGCATTTTGCTAATAAAGAATAATATCTTTTGCAGAATCTTGTGTTTCACTTTTCATATTCAAAAAAGGAAAATGTGAACAAATTTTAATTGTGATTCCAAATGTTCAAAGCTAACAAGACAGCTGTTTTCATGTAAATGTTTTCTTCGCCATTTAACATGCAAAATAATACATGCAATAAAAAATGCATTTTTTCAGTAAATATCGAATTTTTTTATAAATCTAATGTCACCATTGAGAAATTTGCGCTTTTAAAAAATATGCAAATCAAATTATGATAAATTATTTTTTTGGAAGTACGTATCTGCACGTATTACACAGGTCCACAAAAGAAAAGTCGCTGGATAATAATTAATTCATTCAGAAAAGATCTAGATTGAAGATTGTGCTAGTTTTTAAATGTTTTTCAATATTTTGTGCCCCAATTTTGACTATAGATTTATCTTCAGCGGTAAAAGAA